TCTACTATTCAAATGACTCAAATTTTAAGGTTCTGTTTTTCGCAAAGAAATGAGTGATCTTCTTCCCACATCATATTTTATAATAATAATGAAAAATATAATTTTTTGAACTTACCGGTTAAACTGTCATGTTCAATATTCTTCTTCCCGCGTTCTTTTGGTTATTTAGAAATTTTCCAAGTACAAAATTGATGTACTCAAAGTTTTCTCTAGTATAAGCACGTTGTACATTTGATTCATTAAATAAATAATTCATATTGGATGTTTCTTTGTGATGTTTTTTAGAATAAACAATGTTATGAAGCTTGAAGAAAAAAAAATATATTTTTTACATTTATTTTATTTTATTGTTAAGTACAATCATATTGTACTCATATTTTATTAGTATAAATTAGTGTTCTGAAACATGATTTGATATTTGTTTAGCCTCATGTTTAATTTTTTGTTAAGAACAATCATATTGTATTCATATTTTTTAGTGTAAAATAATATTTTGAAACAAGATTTGATATTTGTTTAGCCACTTGTTTGACATTTAGTTCGGTACAACCATGTTGTACTCATGGTTTGGTTGTACAAAATAATTTATGAAGTTGGATTTAATACTTATTTGGCCTCCTGTTTAATTTTTTTGTTAAGTATAATCATATTGTACTCATGTTTTTTAGCATAAAATAATCTTCTGAAACATGATTTGATGTTTGTTTAGTCATCAGTTTGATTTTTTGTTCAGTACAATCATATTGTACTCATATTTTTTAGTGTAGAATAATGTTATGAAACATGATTCAATGATTGTTTGGTCTCCTGTTTGATTTTTTGTTTGGTACAATCATAATATACTCATATTTTTTATTGTTAAAAATAATGTTTTGAAATAAGATATGGTATTTGTTTAATCTATTGTTTGATTTTTTGTTAAGTACAATCATGTTTTATTTATGTTTTTTTTTGTTAATTAATATTATGAAGAAGGATTAGATGATTTTTCGTCTTCATGTTCAAATTTTTGTTCGGTACAATCATGTTGTAATCATGTTTCATAAGTGCATAAAAAAAGTTCTGAAGCAGGATTAGACATTTGTTTGGCCCCATGTTTGATTTTTTCTTCAGTACAAACATATTGCACTCAGTTTTTTTTAACATTAAAATATGTTATGAAATAGGATTTGAAGTTTATTTGACCTTTGTTTTATTTTTTTCCGACACAACCATGTTTTACTAAACATTTTTATTTGTAAAATCTTATTGTGCATTATCTTTTTATATGGGGTGGTTGAAATATTTGATTTCTTTTTTCTTGTAAGTCTCTTATAAGCTTTGTGGACAATATCTCATAATGGATCACATTTAGGTGCATGCCATCAACATTCAGGGCACTTTGTGATGAATTAGCCCAATATATTGATAAAGATGATGTGCAGATCTTTAGGAGGCTTAACATACATCATTTTCTAAGTTTGTCAAAAATTCAAGAAGATGTTTCATTAACTGTGCAACTTATACAATATTGGAATTCTGATAGACATGTTTATGTATTGGAGGACATGAACTGTGATTCATCGCGGATGAATTTGCTTTAATAATTAGAATGGCTAATAGAGGGGAAATGAACCTCTCTCCAATTTAACATCTTTAGATTTTATAAATTAAGGAGCAAAATAGAATACAAAATCTTGATAAATTTGTTAGTACATTTATAAATTTTTTGCTAACAAACCTTTTTTCCCCTACCATAACTATAAAGTACACATGGATCTTCTCTTTTTTTCCTCGAAATGTTCAAGAATTATCACGGTATAATTGTTTAGATATCATATGAAAATTTTTAACTAATCAACTTATTGTTATAGCAGAGAAGGGTAGGTCCCAGATATCGTTTGAATACACAAGTGATTATGTCATTCTTTTCACGATTCCTTGTCAAATCCAATGCTTCAAATAATTTTAATCAAAATAGCGAGTACTTACTTATTTTTCTTATCTATCTATCTTTAAAAACTAACGAACTATTCTATTTTATGTTTTCTTCTAATTTGATAGAAAAACACTAACTATTCTATTTTATGTTTTCTTCTAATTTGATAGATAGAGCTTATAGACAAGGATGTCGTAAGTGTTTTTGACTCCAACATTGTAGAGTGACAGATTGAAGAAGTCAGTGGGATTCAACAACAACTGAATAGTATTGATTATGATATGTTTGCAAATTGAAGAAGTCAGTGGGATTCAACAACTGAATAGTATTGATTATGATATGTTTGCATGTAAATACATTAAGGTCATAGTTGCTCGTCAAGTGGTTGATTGGGTTGAACATCAGAAATGACAATTTAAAATTCGTTGTTTAAGGCTAAATTTGCTTACAAACTTTTTGTTCTTGAGTCTCGTTGGCATCCTAAAGAAAATTATGTTGTAAATTATCTTGCATTTTATTTTCATTTGATATTTTGAATTACAAGATTGAAATTATTTGAAAGAAGAATTGATAACATTATGCAACCATGTTGTACTATCAAATTTGTATACACTAGGCCAATCTAATGTGATAACATGGTGAACAACATGGTTATAGTCAACTTAAGAGCGAGTACAATCATGTTTTACTGATCAAATATTTACACACAAGCCCAATATAAAGGGATTGCAGGTTTAACATTCTGATTATACATGTTTATGGACGAGTACAACCATGTTGTACTGATAAATATTTTACGCACAAGGCCAATCTAATGTGATATCACAGTGAACAACAAGGTTATAGTCAACTTAAAGCAGAGTAAAACCATGTTATATTGATCAAAATTTTACACACTTTGTCAATCTAATGTGATAACATGTTGAACAACATGGTTCTAGTCAACTTAAGGCAAAGTGCAACCATATTGTAATGATCAAATTTCTACACATAAGACCAATCTAATGTGATCGCACGCTTAACATTATAATTATACATACCTTAAGGACGAGTACAACTATATTGTACTGATAAATGATTTTCACACTTAATCAATCTAAAGTGATATCACGATGAGCAATATGGTTATTATCAACTTGAGGCAAAATACAACCATGTTGTACTGATTAAAATATTACACACTAAGCCAATTTAATGTGATAACACGGTGAACAACATGATTAAAATCAACTTAAGGCAAAGTACAACTATTTAGTACTGATAAAAAATTTAATGTACTTTTACAACATATAACATCTACACCTAAAAAATTTCATGGCCATTTTCAATAAGAATAAATATTTGACTCATTAATTAGAATAATTGTTCATCATAAATGATACCACTAAACTATACTTCATTTAAGAATTCTCCCATTAATGTTGTTCATCATCAACCCAATGTACTCAGGTGATGTCTTCTTTCTATTGTTTGCACCTGAATTGAATTCTTCCGTTAAATAATGAGACATGGTGGAGAATGGAATCATATGGAATGGATGTGTGTGCATTCAAATGCCAATAATTCATCTTTTTCTCCTATTTAAAAAAAGGTGAATGAGAGGTAACGACAACCTAATAATAGTGAATGAAATGTGACATTAAAATGCTATTTAATAAAAAAAATACATGAATTAATATTATGGTGAGAAACCGGTGTTGATGTCTCTGCATGCTCTTTGATTGATGAGAGTTCATCATTTTCCCTTGTCAGAAGAAAAGTGAATGAGATATGACACAATGATATTATTTAACAAAAAAAAAAATTAATAAATAATATCAGGAGTACAATTAGTATTAGCATGATTGGTTGGAGTGGATGACTAACATGCTCTTTGATTGTTGAGAGAATAATTTTTTTTTCTATCGTTGTTTTATTTAGATTGTGTGATCTCTTATGACAAGCTTTCGAGCAAAAAAAAATATTTTGATTTAATATTCCTTGAATTTGGACAATAACTAGTATGATCCTTTTGAACACTGAAACTCATATCGTGTACATAGTTGCAATATATGTTATATGCCTCATTTACATTTTGAACAGTCATGGAAATGTTTTTTTGAATTTGGTTCAAAATATATAAGAATTTCATCATTGCATTCACTTTCTTGCACAAATATCTGCAAATTGATTGAGTGAGACATGGTTGTTGTTAAATAAATGAGTATGTCATATGTTATAACATGTAGTACACCATGGCTTTACTGGCGAAAAAAAAAGATTTAAAATCATGTTCTATTGTATATCAAATATTCATAATGCTTTTACCAATAATATAATGTGTAGTACAACATGTTTGTACTCATTTAAAAAAAAAACCTAAAACTATGTTGAACTATAGACCAAACATTCTTGAGCCCTTACGTACGTTATAACATGTATACAACATTGTTGCATTGGTGAAAACTTGATTTAAAACCATGTTGCATTATATATCAAATGTTCATAATCCCCTAACCGATATTATAATATGTAGCATAACATAGTTGCACTCATTTAAAAATGACATTAAAAACAGGTTGAACTATAAAAAAAATGTCTTTAAGCCCTTACACATTTTATAATATGCAGTACAACATGATTGCACTTTTAAAAAAAATGATTTAAAATCATGTTGTATTATAGACCAAATGTTTATAATATTTTACAAGTGAATGTTCAAGTGAAGATCACATCCACATTTTCTAGGAGAGTAGTATGCTTGTCTTTCATCTTCACGATGAGTTGTATTATTTTTCTTCATTTACGGTTTGGGCAGCAAAACAATATTGAAGTATAAACCCTAAAGGAAGTTTTTTTTCTTCTCCGGCTTATTAGGTGGCATCCAAGAATAAAAACGATGCCCTAAATCTAAAAATTACATTTTTTTATTTTTGCGGCACGAAAACATCAATCAATATGGGTCGGGTCAGGCAACGAGTTTCACACATTTTTATATGAGAACATAATATTTTAAATCGTAAACATATAACAAAATTTAATTGAAATTCAATCATAATCCGGGCATAATATTTTTTTTTATATCTGAAGCATAAAATAAAATTTCATTTCACACACAAGAATAAGAAATTTAATAATACAAACAAAAAATAAAGCACCCCACAAACAACGAGTGATTATTGTATCAGGACACCGGACGTAAATTTGTATCCGGAGTTCAGTAGAAGTGTGTCAAATGACAAGTGAGTCCCATTGTAATAAACTGGTTGGGTAAGTTTTTAAAAAGAATGTGGCCCGCTTACCAGGTAACACACTCTCACTGAACTCCTGACGTAAATTGAGTCCGTTCTTAATGTAATAATTTTTCCACAAACACCACAATGGATGCATAGATACATAAATACGGACGAATTATTTTATTTTCAATTTTCGAACTTTGTTTCCATTCTGTCAACCGCTGTTCAAACCCTTTCTCCTTAGTAGAAATCCTTCCAGAACAACCCGCTTCCTGTCATACTCACAGCATGCTCTTGGCCGAAGGTCCGACGTCGGAGACGGGGTCAACTTCGACGAATATGGGGACTCCGGCACCGTTTTCCGGCGAGGAAGAAAGCGGAGCACCGATGCCGTCCACAGGATCGCGCAGATCCGTCCGCAGAACACCATCACCATCAAGCTCACCACCAAGAAAAATAGGGCGCACCGCCTCTCCGCGGCTGCTTCCACCATCTCCTTTGATTTCGGCACCGGCAAAAATGGGGAAGCCGATAGTGTTTTGGGTGATGAGCTCGAAGAGGATGAGAAGATGAGCTCATCCGACCCCCGACCATCATCGGAATCCGATTTCCGCACCGATGAGGTCTCCGATGCAAAGGTTGGTTTCTGACCACTGAATTGACCGCCTCGTCTCCTCTGTAATTGAGAAGAAAAAAATAAAAATCAACGCTCGTTGTCCTGTTCCAATATCTGGATAAAGAATCAGAAATCGAAGTAAAGAGAGATCATACCGGAGTGGAAGAAACATCAGCATAAACGTTCGCCTGTGGACTGATGAGCGCTGGGAAGATGATTCCGGCTAGACGACGCCGCCACCTCCGCTGTCGATGGCAGGGCGGCACTTCCGCTATGACATGGACGGTGGTGATCCGTTCTTCGGCCACATCAGGCGAGAAGCAGAGAAATTGAGCTATCTTCATTTTATTGCAAGGTTAGGGTACCATGACCGGACTGGGAGTTTGATGATGGGTTTATAGGCGAGCGGGAGGGGGAGAGTGTCCGCTTATTCTGCTGACCGCTGCCCGTCGGGCAGAAGCGCGCGCTACTTTTTATCTTTTCACGGGACTGGATTTGAACATTCATTTATTGATTTGGCTCTTTAATATCGAAACATTTATATTTACATAGATACCATCCAAATTTTCAACATAACATAAAAATATTACATTATTATCCTTTTAAAAAGTGAACATATGAAAAACACCTTCCATGTCCAAATTTACGACATCAAAATGTTATCAGGATAAATATCAAATTTTAGGCGATAGATATGTAAAATACATAAGTATTTTAGTTTGAACATATAATTATAGTTTCAATCATAGTAAATTGGAAAAATAATTTAATACATAAATTATTAAAATTTTATTAGTGTTATGACATGTTCATAGGTAAAAATCAAAGTTTAGGTTTGAGAGAAACAAAAACATTAGAATTAGGTGTTGTGTATGTAAATTCCCCTAAAATATAAGCTTATGGGTGGAGTGGTGCCATTTTTTATAATATTTTTGGATAAGCATTCACACAAATGTATATTTCATAACCTTTTGGGCAAAGAGTTGCACACTTGAGTATAATTTTTGGTAGTTGTTAGTGCATTGTAGCTTTGGATTAGTGGAGGAGAGATGGACCCTAAAAAGCACTCTACAACTCTTCTATTGGCAAAATAATATGATTCTGACATCTTTTGACAAGTTAATCAGTCGATAGAGACCATTTTTAAAAAACTTTATCTAAGAGCAGATGCATGGCCGATTTATACAACTAGATGTTTTTATTTACACAATTCCTTGGACAATATTTGAATATGAACAACTACAACATCCACGAGCCAAATCAACAGTTATTCATCACACTAAATTGCTCTTACACGAGATAGCATTTTGCCATAAATTTGTACAGTTTTATTACATATATTTTTTTTTCACACTGCTCTAAATTGAACCTTTGTTGACCCTCAAATATACTCTGCAAAGATGAGCCGATCAAAAATGGCTAGATTAATAAACATAGAGTGCGACATTGTGCATATACAGAACTTTTGAAGCCTTGAAATTAATAGTAAGCAGCATGGCACCTTATATGATAATCAAATTCATCTCAGAATATTGACTACAAATGTTATTATATTATGTATGAAACTTATAATATGGCGATCAATTTTAATAAGTTTTGGCGTGCTCTTTCTTAGGAAGATGAATTAAGGCATTATGATGCGTTTGAAAATAGTTGTCAGCATATTTACAACTTTCATTCAAATTTGATCTTATTTGATTATGCATTAATTCATATCAATTCATCTAATTACCACCATATTTTTTAAGTGAGTTTCAACTAATAAGACAGCAGATCATACTGCTTCAACACACAATTACCACAAAGTTGAAAGAGTTAAATTAGTGATGCTGAAATGAAATGCAGCCAATAACCATCGAAATGAAAATAGAATTTGATAGGGATTTGAATCAGGAAAATTTTAATTATCTGATAAATTAATTAGTATAACTAAAAATAATATAAAATGATTTTTGTGTGCTTACTGGACGGATATGATGCACAAACACTTTTAATTAAGAAATTGTGCATTGTCCGACATGTATCAGCAAGGATAAGACTCTGACACGTGATGGACACGACATAGAAGTGTCTGATTTAAATAATATTTAAAAAAAAAAGAACAAGTGTAGAACACACATAACACACCCACAAGACATGTATGTTATATATTAATGAATTAAAATTTTCTGAAAAAAATTTTAATGACTATAATTAAAATATATATTGATATGTCACAAACAAATTTTTATCATCCGGCACAAATCTCGAGACAATATTTTGAACATGAAATATTCAAATCTTGATAAAAAGTCATATAGAGCTCTGATTTTAGCAAACTTATAGTCAAACTGCCATATAGAGCTATGATTTTAGCAAACTTATTGTCAAACTGGTCAGCTCGATGAAAAGGACCCAATGATACAAAAACTAGCCTAATCCGAGTCAGATCAAGCCCGAATCAAATCATTAAACCACTCTTAAAAGATTTCCAAAAGCATTGGAAAGATCAAACAGATGTCAAATCTAGCGAGTTCATAGTCGAATCGAGCGTCTCGACAAGACAAATCCAACGAGCCCAAGATTGCTCAATTCTGACATTGTTAAAGCACTCAAATGTCCATCAAACATCAACCGATCGAGCGAAGCTCTCAAGGTCGTCCGATCAAAATGGTTCATTTTCCTGCATTAATTGCACCCAAAACACTATAAATAGAGCCCCATCCCTCACATGATGGATGAGGCTTGAGAGAGAACGTGAGACTTTGAGAAGAAGTTCAAGTTTAACATCATCTATGTCATCGTCGATCGTCGTCGACAACTCAAGGACCACCGCCGGCTGCCATCGACCACCAGCGTCCGTAGTCAACCACTGCCGACCATCATCAACTACATCGACCACCGCTAACCAAACACCGTCAGTCGACATTGTACCTTGAAAATCTAGAAATCATTTCCAGCCTGTGGGACAAGGGGTCTCTATAATCTTCAACTTATATTGAATTTTTATAACTGGGTCAGACCCCATGATTTTTTCCCTTTACGGGTTTTCCACGTAAAAACTTCTGGTTTCATCACAAGTTGATTCATAGTTGATTCATTTTCATCTAAATGTGTGTTGAATCCTCGTGCAACGCTAAGGCGATAATCCATTACTCTATCGCAACGAATTTTCTAGCACACATCAGTTTGACGTCGTATGGCGCCGTCTGTGGGAAACGAAGTCCTGTTCGACATTGTCTTCGACTCTAAGAAGTTGATTCCCTACTTTATTTCCCAATGATAAATATCATCCAACTGATTAAGAAACCTCCTTTACGTCTTGAAGATCTTCTCAGATGCATTCTTCTAGGCTGGGGGAGCAACCGTCACCGCAGTCTCGAAAGGTCGTTCACATAAACGTCCTGAGCACGATTGTAGTGAAGTTGTCTTCTCGCATCTTATTTAGACATAAATTATTTCACAACTTCTTTCAGGTTGGGGGACAACCTTCACTGCAGTCTTGAAAGTTCGTTCATGTCAACGTCCCGGGCATGACTGTGGTGGGGAAGTCATCCCATATTTTATTCAGATTACAAGTCTTCGAGAATCTATCATGGACTATGGGGCAATCTTCACTGCACAAATAACACTTCTTCAGTGTCCCCTCATCGTGCTGAAGTTTCTCTTTAACTGGATCAAAAAGCTGATCTCTTCGAGACCCAGTACTTGTGTTGTTTTACAAGCTCGTATGGAAATATCCCTGCAATGGGAGTAAAAGATTTAAAATCAGCAACTAACAAATTGTCAAACATTTTTCTTGAGTATGAATACAACCATATTTCCAAGAAAACATACAGTCCATTGCGACCTACACCCCAGTCTCGAGAAACATAGAACATCTCTGACACCTTATTCTGGGACTAACCGATCCCAAGGGGACTCGATTCGACATCTTCCATTACATGATACAATCGTTAAGCAAAAGCTTCGACATACAGCGTTGGATAGGCCAAAAATCCTTGGTGGATTTCCTTCGACCTTTTTCATTGCAGACTACAGTCATCAAGCAAAAGCTTCGACATACAGCCTTGAATAGGTCAAAAATCAGTGGTGGATTTCCTTCAACCTATTCCATAACAGGTTACGGTCGTCAAGCCAAAACTTTGGCCAAAAACCTTGGATAAGTCAACTATCCTCAGTGGATTTCATACGACTCTGTTCATTACGGGTTAATATCGTCAAGCTTCACGGGTTATACAACTCATAACTGGTCTTGCATCCTCAATGAATTCTCCTTTCAATAATGCCCCTGGAAGTCAAGCCCTTAAGACAAGACTCGATAAGAAGCTATCATGTCGCTGGAAGACAAGCCCAAAAGGTAAATTTCGAGGGGAAGCTAGCAGCTGACAGAGTCCTCACTAGAAAGACTCCAACAGAGCAAATGGTTGACAGGGTCTCCACTAAAAGCATCAGTTCATCTCAAGCTTCTATAATACATAAACCTGAGAGTGCAAAACTTCAGTGGGCACGCGTTTTAAAAAGGGGTCTCTAGATATTGCCACCAAATAAACATAAAAATCTTCCCCTCAAGGCGTGGCGGGAAAACTATTTGTTTTCATCACCTCTGAAATACACCGCAAGGAGAAAAAAAAATCATGTTTCTTGTCTGCTAAGCAGGACAGGGATGACTTTCCTCTTTATCGCAACTCCTCTCCGCAACTCTGCACCACAACTCTTTGTCGCAACTCTGCACCACAACTCTTCGCTGCAACTCGACACCACAACTCTTCGCCGCAACTCTTTATCGCAACAAGGTACCGCAACACATCACTGTAACTCTGCACCGCAACTCTGCGTCTCAACGCTTCTCTGCAAGTCTGTGCCGCAACTCATCACTGCAATTCTTCGCTGCAACTCTTCACCACTACACAAGACGATTTTCTTCTGAGAAATCTTAAATCAGCTGAGGACTCCATCCCTACCTTCTTTCACAACATTAGATATTCAACGCATCGCGCCACTGCGACGCTTCGCCAGCACGCCGTTGCGACACAATGCCCCAACACGTAGATGCGCTGCAATGCGTCGCCTCGACACACCATCACAATGCATCGCCACGCCGCAAAGCGTTGTCGCGACGCACCGCCACAATTCATCCTGACATCACAACGCACTACTGCAATGCGTCCCCGCGACGCCCCGTCGCAAGGCGTAGTCACGTGACGGGATGTTCCGTCGCGACGCTCCGCTGCCACGCATCGCGTCACCCCGTCGCCTCGCCGCACCGCCCCGTCGCGACGCTACGTCGCAAACCGTTGCCTCGCCGCATCGCTCCGCCGGGACACTCCGCCACAACACGTCGCCTCACTCCGTCGCGTTGCCTCGCCAAGACGCACCTTCGCCACGCGTCGCCGCTGCACATTGCCGCAACGCATCGCGTAGCCACGACACCCCGCCTCGACGTACTGCCGCCTTGAGTCGTCGAATAAAATTTCGACTCAAGCAGCTGTTCTTCACGGATCCGACTTCGGTTTCTGCTCGCGACACTCTATCATAAGACGTTGTCACGACTCTATCCCCCTCTTCTTTAGCCCAATTTATAGGCTGAAATGGAGTTTGAGACACTAAATGCTCATTAATAAATAAAAAAAATTCGACTCAAGCAGCTGTTCTTCACGGATCCGACTTCGGTTTCTGCTTCCACGCCATTTGGAGTCCTCAAATTTAATTGTGGTGGAGAACTTTCAGTTATGCATGTAATTAAAGTGAATTATTAAAGCAAAAATCAAAGATCATCAAAGCTGTCAGCGCTTTAAATAAAAAAAGAAAGACAAAAAAAAAAGAAAGAAAAATGAGTGCTTTAGATATTAATATTTTCGGAAAATAAAAAATATCTCGTCCGAAAATAGAGAGACAATTGATACGCCACCAATAAATTTTCATCATCCGACACAAATCTCGATGCAATATTTTGAACATAAATATTCAAATCTTGATAAAAAGTCATATAGAGTTCCGATTTCAATAAACTTATAGTCAAACTGACCAGCTCGATGATATAAAAACTAGCAGGATCCGAGTCAAATAAAGCCCGAATCAAATCATTGAACCAATATTAAAGGATTTCCAGAGACATTTGAAAGATCAAACGGATGTTGAATCTAGCGACTTCATAATCGAATTGAGTGTCTCGACAAGACGAATCCAACGAGCTCAAGATTGCTCAATTTCGACATCATTAAGACACTCAAATATTCATCAAACAACATCCGATAGAGGAAGCTCTCCAGGCCGTCCAATCGAAATGGTTCATATTTCTGCATTAATTGCACCAAGAACGCAATAAAGAGAGCCCCACCCCTCACATGAGGAGGGATGCTTGAGAGAGAACTTGAGGCTATGAGAATGAGTTCAAGTTCAACATCATCTCTATCATTGTCGATCGTCGTCGACCACCACCGACCGTCAACGACTTGTCCACCACCAGCGACCGTCGACAACCACCACCGACCGTCATCAACTGCATCGACCACCATTAATCAAACGCCGTCAGTCGACGTTGTACCTTGGAAAATCTAGTATCACTTTTCCGTATGTGAGACAATGGTGTTTCTGTAATTATCAACTTATAGTGATTTTTATAACTGGGCAAGACTTTTTTTTTCCTTTACAAGTTTTCCACATAAAAACATCTGGTGTCATCACAGGTTGATTCATTTTCATCTAAATGTGTGTTAAATCATTGTTCAACACTAAGACGATAATTCATTACTCTACCACCGCGAAGTTTCTAGCACCATCACATATAATTATGTAAAATTGAGGAAAGATTCAAATACATATCAACCAGTTTTATGTATTTACATACCTAACACCTTAGTTTCAAATTTTACATATATGTCAGCTTTATATATATATATATATGAAAATAGTAATATACCATATGTGATATGAAAGATTTGGGTGGCATAAACGAAAAATCAAATTTTATGTGTTAGAAATGTAAATACATAAGAACTAATTAATTATCATTTTATTTCTTTTAATCAATAGTTAATTTAAAATGTTAAATTTTGATGTAATACAAAATAATTTATGCTTAGTTTTATACATTTTGATTATTTTTCAAATATAATTTAATTTTTTAAATATAAAAAATAAAAAAATCGTATCCGCTAAATTAGGGAACAAAAGTAATGTCAAGGAAGCTCTTAGTTTTTAAAAATTAGTGCTATTAAATTTCTTATTATCATTTATATTTATATATATATATATATATATAATGGACTAGAATATGTGTATTTTCATTCTATATGTGTTAATTCGACAAAACAAAAGGACACCACGACAAGAAGACACCACAACATAAAGGCACCACACAACAAGAAAACACAAAAGTAAACAGTGATCACACAAAGGAACCCTATTTGTGAGGATAGAGAGAGAGAGACCTCACCTTATCCGTGAGAATCACAAGAGAGTGAGAGGCAACTCTATCTGTGAGAATTGTGCGAGACAGAGAGAGAAGAGAGTTTAGAGAAAATATTGCGAGAGAGAGAGAGAGAGAGAGAGAGGAGAGAGAGAAAGGATTGTGGGAGAAGAGCACACTACTAGGCCAAGACAAGAGAATGAACTGCGACGGTGAGGAGAGGGGCAACAGGGCTACAAATAAGGAATGTTGGCTGTTGGGGCATGCTTGCTGCTGCGTTTCCTTTGGCATCATTTAAGAGTTTGTCGCGCCACGAGTTCCCAAGCGGCCCCAATTGGGTCTCCATGCCGCTCTGACGCAACCCCAAACGTGCCCATAAATAATCTAACTTATAATTAAATAATTAAAATCCCAATGTTTAATAAGCAAATTCAATAAATGCATGTGTTAAACTTCCATGCATCCATCCACAACTCACTTTAGATTGCTTCCACATAAAAATAGTAAAATGATGATTTTGTTTCATTATTTTAAATATAAACACTAAAATTATTTCTCATAACGATTTTTAACATATTTATGAAATTAAATATTCATGTCACTTTTTAATTACACAAAACTAAATAATAAAAATATAATAAATTCATCATACTTAAAATCATGTCAACCATAAAAAATCCCTCCCATCATTATTCATTGTGAAGAATAAATAACATGAAATGCCATCATTTGTGTAATGCTAACAATTGCATGTTTGCTTAATGCTGATTTCCTTAATCTTGGATTATTATTCCATATTTAAGAGTATTTATGTTCTAAGAAAATGGTGGTCTTAGACTACTTAGATTTTTTTTTCTTCGATCAAAATAGTCGATTTGACTATAAGCACGTCAAATTAGGAGATTGTTTTACTACTAATAAATGCATGAAGCTCAATTATGTTTGAAATGCTTGATTTTAGCTCAAGTTGAATGGCTTTTAGTGTCATCGGGTACGTACTATTGAGAAATTCAATTTGTAATAAATTTGTTGAAATTAGAACTTAATGATCTTAAACTTGATTATGATATTTATTCTCATCAAAAGCACATAAGATTAATATTTGATCTTGTTCAGTTTTTTTGCAACATACCACTAATAATTCATTTGTTTTATACTGATGCGTAATAGTTCAACTATGTTTTATAATAATGTTCATACGCCATCAATGAATTTTCATCATATTGCACATGTCTCAAGACAACTCGAATTTCAAGACAATTTTTCAATCAAGCTTATAGTCAAAATGACCGTCTCGACAAGATAAAGCCAATGATACTAAAATTGGTCCAATCAGAGTCAAATCACACCCATGTCCAGCCATTAAATCACTTTTAGAAGCTTTCGGTGTATAAATTTAAATGTCAAACAAATTTTCAATTTAGCAAACTTATATACAAATCGAGTGTCTCAAAAAGATGGATCTAATGAGTCCAAGATCGCTTGATTCTGACATCATTAAGATATTTAAATGTCTGTATAACACTGTCCAATCAAGGAAATCTTTTCGGGTCAACTGATCAAAATAGTTAAGATTCGTTTTTATTTATAATAACGACTCTAAGAAAATCAAGGAAATCTTTTCGCGTCAACTGATCAAAGTAGTTAAGATTCATTTTTTATTTATAATAGGGACTCTAAGAAATAGTTTCCTACTCATCTCTTGTCAAAGGGCTAGACCCTGAGTTAGAGGAATACCAAAGGTTGGAGAAGAGGGAGCTAAAATCTTTTATTCTTCACCGATGATTCGGCCAACGCTTGCAGCTCTTGCAGGCGCCAACCACTGCTCTCCATTTGACGCCGACTACCATTGGCTACAACATGTTCCTTATAGCCAAACAACATGTGAAGCAACAACCGAAATAAATGAGTTACAAAACAGCCTACGAAGTAGTGCATCATTCTAAATGTCATACTGACCTCAAAGATAATGTTCTAATGCTCCAGGAATTACCCCCCATTGCGACCTTTTCCTATCATGAGGCCAAAAGTTATTCTAAGAACAAACTTAGTAACTCGAGAAACTGTGTACACCTTTGCAGCTATGACACAAAAGGTTAATGCTAAGAATAGTCCGCCCAATTAATCTATAATATCTAATAATTTAGTTACAGCCAGGGATCAAATATAAAACATAAAATCGATGAATATTTAATAAAATTAATCTATTCAATGCAAAACATATCATAATCCTTTGGCAAATTTTTTCCCCTCATTCTAAAGTCGTTAAAAAAAAATCAACCCAAAATTTAAATATTAAATAATTAACAAACGCGCTAGTTTTTAAAAATAAAAAAATAGGTGAAAATATTCAGATTAAATCTGACCCGAATGATTTTAAAATAGTTTTTTTTTTTAGATGAACTGGCTTTAAGAATTTATTGATAATCTTTATATTACATGCATCTCAATAAAAATATTAAAAATTAAATATTTATTACATTTAAATTTTGATTAATTTATTCTGACCTATTTTTTCTCTGTAATTATTCCATCAATTATAGGTC